GAAACATCCAAAAAGCAGCTGGCTTGTCTTATTTTAAACCCATGGCCATTAATCTCGAGAAAAGTTGAAAATATACAGCAGTCCCCCCCTTATTCTTGGGGGATATATTCTAAGACGCTCAGTGGAGGATATATCCTAAGACCTCCAGTGGATACCTGAAACTGAAGATGGTACTGAACTCAATATGTACAATGTTTTTTCTATAAATACATGCCTATAAAATTTAATTTATAATTAAACACAGTAAGAAATTAACAAGAATAATAAAAGAGAACAATTATATTAGGTGAGTGAAAAAGTAATTGCGGTTTTTGAACTGTTGGGATCTGCAGTTTGGTACTGGAATACATTCTTAAATAAGTGGCTATGTTACACATCATTTTAATGGGCATTTCTCGCTTTATTTATTTATTTTTCTGCTAATGACTTATTACTTGCTGTTTATTTTACGTTTAGACTATGGAAATGATGTTAGACAAAAAGCAAATTCGAGTAACTTTCTTATTCAAGTTCAAAATGGGTCATAAAGCAGCGGAGACAACTCACAACATCAACAACACACTTGGCCCAGGAATTGCTAATGAACATACAGTGCAGTGGTAGTTCCACAAGTTTTACAAAGGAGACGAGAACCTTGGCTGGCCATTGGAAGTTGACAACGATCAACTGAGAACAATCATCGAAGCTGATCCTCTTACAACTACACAAGAAGCTGTCGAAGAACTCAACAACCATTCTGTGGTCCTTTGGCATTTTAAGCAAATCAGAAAGGTTAAAAAGCTCAGTAAGTGGGTGCCTCATAAGCTAACCGAAAATCAAAAAAATCATCCTCATGAAGTGTTGTCTTACTCTACGCAACAACGATGAACCATTTCTCTATCGGATTGTGATATGCAATGAAAAGTGGATTTTATACAATGACTGGAGATGACCAGTTCAGTGGCTAGACAGAGAAGCAGCTCCAAAGCACTTCCCAAAGCCAAACTTGCACCAGAAAAGAATCATGGTCACTGTTTGGTGGTCTGCTGACAGTCTAATCCACTACAGCTTTCTGAACACCGGCACAACCACTTCATCTAAGAAGTATGCTCAGCAAATCGATGAGATGCACCAAAAACTGCAATGCCTGCAGCTGGCATTGGTCAATAGAAAGAGCCCAATTCTCCTCCACAACAATGCCCAACCACATGTTGCACAACCAATGCTTCAAAAGTTGAATGAATTGGACAACAAAGTTTTGCCTCATCCACCATATTCATCTGACCTCCTGCCAACCAACTACCACTTCTTCAAGCATCTCAACAGCATCTTTTTGCAGGGAAAACGCTTTCACAATCAGTGGGATACAGAAAATGCTTTCCAAGAGTTTTGTCAAATCCCAAAGCACGGATTTTTACACTACAGGAATAAAGAAACTTATTTCTCATTGGCAAAAAATATGATTGTAATAGTTCCTATTTTGATTAATAAAGATGTGTTTGAGCCTAGTTATGATTTAAATTTCACGGTCCCAAACCGCAATTACTTTTGCACCAATCTAAAAACAATCTACTATAATAAAAGTTATATGAATGTGGTCTCTCTCAAAATATCTTATTGTAACATACTACAGGTAATTGAAACCAAGGAAAGCGAAACCCAGATAAGGAAGTAGTACTGTACAGTTTCTCTGTGTCACTCATTCCCATCAGCATATAAAAATACTGTAATTCTCTCATCTTGAAAAAAAGGCTTCTCTTGACCCCACACTTCACTCCAGCTGCCCAGCTACTCCCTTCACCTAGTTTATTCACAGAGCTCCAAAAACCTATTTCAGACCTCTTTTCTTCTCAGTCAATGCTACCTTCCAATGGTCTCTTATTTCCAACAGCCTCACTCTCACCAGATAAGTTTGCATATTATTTTGCTGCGAAAAATGAAAGCAAACAGAAGAGAACTTTCAATTATTCCCACTCCATTATCCACCTACCCATCTGCACTGGTGCTCTGTATCCTGCCTTCCCTCCTGTTCTTACGAATGAATGGTCCATGCTTCTACTTAAGGGCAACTCCTCCACTTGCGTATTACATCTCATTCCTTTGGCTTTATTAAATGACATTGCTCTACAACTTCCCTGTCTTACATCATCAATTTCTCATGCAGTAACTCATTCCCATAAATACACAAAATGCTGTAAGTATTATTATTTTTTAGACAGTGTCTCACTCTGTCGCCAAGACTGGAGTGCAGTGGCGCGATCTTGGCTCACTGCAACCTCTACCTCCTCGGTTCAAGTGACTCTCCTGCCTCAGCCTCCTGAGTAGCCTGAACTACAGGTGTGCGTTGCAATTTTTGTATTTTTATATTTTTAGTAGAGATGGTGTTTCGCCACATTGGCCGGGCTGGTATCAAACTCCTGACCTCAACAGATCTGCCCATCTCGGCCTCCCAAAGTGCTCAGATTACAGGCATGAGCCACAGTGGCCAGCCAATATGCTGGGTTTTTTTGTTTTGAAAAAAAACTTCTCCTGATCCCACATTTCCCTCCAGATACTGTCCCATTTCTCTGGCCCCCAAAGAAAGAAAATAGTTTTCCAAAAAGTGCCCATATTTTCTTTCTAATTCTTTTCCTCCCACTCTTTCTTGAATCCATTACAAAGTCTTTTAACTTCATTTTATACAAATGAAAATGATCCTGGTCAGGATCACCAAAGACCATGAATAAAATCCAATGGTCATTCTTAGTCTTTATTTTCTTTACCAATCAATTGGATTTGATATTTGACAGCTGATATTTCTCCTTCTTGAAACACATTGTTTTCAAGACATACAGTGGGTTTTTTTTCCTACTTCATTCATCATTCCTCCTTATTGGTCTCCTCTTACTAGTTAATGCTTATTTTCCTGACATACAAGGGAGTGCCCCAAGGCTGTCTCTTACCACTTCTCCATCAATACTTACCTCTTTATTCCATTTTGTAGTTTCATTTAAATAATATGTAAACACTGATTATCCTAAATTCATTATCTCCAAACCATACTCTTCCCTTCTACTCCAGATCCATACAGCCAACTTCCTACTCAAATTTCCCACTTGCATGTCCAATAGGCATCTCATTTTTATTATGTTCTACACTGAACTCTTGGTCTTCTTCCTCCAATAACCACTCCTCCTTATGGTCTTTTCCACCTCTGTAAATGACAAAACCATCATTCTGGTTCAGTTGATCAGAACAAAAACCTTGGATTCACCCTTAACTGCTTTTTCCTCTACAATCTACATCCAATCCATCAAGATAGGCTATAGGCTTACCTTCTGAAATATATCTGGTATCCGACTTCTCAGTATCTCCACACCATCATCTTGGTCTAAGTTACTATTACCTCTTGCCTAGATAATTGCTGCAACCTCCTAACTGGCCTCCCTGTTTTCACCCATCCTAAGTAACTCTATAGTCTGTTTTTAGTAAAGCGACTAAATCGAAACTTTAAACATCTAAGTAAGATTTCATTGCTCTGCTCAAAATTTGCCAGTGAGTCCCCATTTACTTAATTTATAGGAAAAGCCAAAGCCTTTATAATGGCAAACAGCCCTATGTAGTCTGGCCCAAATTTTGAAAAGCCAATCAATAACAACAACAAAAAAAGGCAAAATACAGAAAAGTTACTGATTTTTAAATAGTTTAAGTATAATAGCAAACATCTAGAGTACTTTCTAGGTACCAGGCACTGTTCTAAAACACTACATAAATGAATCCGCTGAATGTATAGAACTCCACTGTGAGGGAAGTACTATTACTACATTTTACAGATTAAAAAATCAAGGCATAAGACGATCAGGGAATTTGCCCAATGACAGCACAGCTAGTAAGTTGCAGAGCCAGCACCTGAACTCCAGAAATCTGACACTCCAGAGACCAAGCTGTTACCAACACTCTATATTGCAGAACATCACAAACTCAATGAATGAAAATTAACCTCTTAAAAAATGTACAAGCCAAAAGAATACTACATATTAAAACATTACATATTACTACATATTAAAAGCTTAGCTATCATAAATTCTTTAACCAAACATTTTGAGATTATATTTAGTTTAAATAATCACATTTCATTATGTCTATGACAATTCACAAAAATCCTGGATTACTTTATAACATTTAATTTTGGCTGAAAGCTTCAAGAATCTTTATCTTAGAGCTAGACTAGATGCCACTGTAAGGTCTCTTCCTGCATTAGATTATTCTAAAATATCTCTCATAACAATACAAAACTGCAGAATAACAAAAACAGAAAACTATATAAAATAAATTTAAACAAGTAACACAAAAGGTAAGTGATCTGGCTGAGAACTAGTAATACTTGGGTTATTAATTTGTTTCAGGCCCAGACTTTAGTCATCTTATCTAGTGCAAGATTAAACTACTAACCTCAAACTTCGCCAGTCTTAGCCTACTATCCTTTACCAGTTTCCTGGTAATGGCATAATAGGGTAACCATTTGTCACATTTAAGTAAAAAAGACATTTTTTAGCATGTTTGCCTCTTACATCTGATACCTTCTGGAACATATGAGGTATTATCGTATCAACCAAACCACAACAAAAAATGGTTCCAATTTTAAAGATCTTCCAAGCTGAAATTTCAATAGCCTCTTTCACTAAAATTAGCAAAAGACCTTCAGGCCAATAGATCTAGACTTAGAAGTCCAATAATTCTTTATGTAAGAATAGTGAGCACAGGAAACAGCGAATACTATTGTTACCACCTCTCTTGAATGTAAGATTGTTTCTTTATACATATACATAACTATATACCACACTTCACTTCTTGCTTACCTAGGCTTTTTAGATGGAAAAACATCAAGAAGTTTCTTGTGAAGAATTCATTTTGTACTAAAACAAAGTAGAATGTTCCAGTTTTTTGGTAGAACATTCAGAGCTTTTATACTTAATATAACACAAACACAATGTAAAGATACCAATGTCGTACAATAATTGAGTTACAACTACGTAACTAACCTGCTCGGTGGGAGCCCAGTCTTGAATAAAGAGGGAGGAGAAGTAAACTCAGCTTTTGTAGATGGAAGGGCTGTTTCTTTCTCTGAATTTCCAGTTCTTCCCTGCTGTACCTTAAAAAAAAAAGGTTATTAGCTTGTTTAATTTAATAGAAAACTCAAACATAATGGACTTTACATGTTAAAATAAGTTTATAACATTTAATTTGAAGTTAAACATTAAGAATGTTTCTTTGCTGAATATTTATTAAAAATAGCCTATTTTAGAATAGTATTAGGTGAAAGGCACCAAACAGAGCATGGGATCAAAATGTTCCAACTATCAAAAAGTTCACATTAATAACACTTAGAAGCAGAATAAACTGTAATTCTTTGGCACTTTCATAAATTCTCGCAGATCACCACAAATAGGTCCCAGATACTTGGTTATGACTTCATGTTTTGAATTCAAGAAAGGCCTTGAAGAATTTTCCCATTCTGTGTTCACCACCCTTATTCTAAGAAAACAACAGGTGACCATTTTACCCATTCTGACCATTTTCTATTCAGACTGTGATTTCCTGTAACACAAATGTGAATAATCTGCTACTGTACATCCATACAATTTCTCCCATCACCATTAAAAGTACCATCATCCTGCCAGTTCAGTAGGCTTAAAAGCTTGAAATCAATCACTTGTCTTAATACCTCTCCTCACTCTGTTGCCCAGGCTGGAGTACAGTGGTGCAATCACGGCTCACTGAAGCCTCTACCTCCCAGGTTAAAGTGATTCTCTTGCCTCAGCCTCCCAAGTAGCTGGGATTACAGGTGTGCACCACGATGCCTGGCTAAGTTTTGTATTTTTAGCAGAGACAGGATTTCACCATGTTGGCCAGGCTGGTCTCAAACTCCTGTCCTCAAGTGATCTGCCCACCTCTGCCTCCCAACGTGCTAGGATTATAGGTGTGAGCCATCACGCCCAGCCTTCTCCCTCTTAATATTAATTTCAAAACCAGTTATCTACTTACTCCATAATTTCTCCAAGATTTGCCTATCCTTTCTGCTCTTAGTAGAGACTTTGATTGTGGCCCAGTCACATTCCTCTAGACTGCTGAAATGACTTCTTTATGCTCTTCTGCTTTTATACTCATCTTTTTATCTTAAAATTATCATCAAACTATTCAATTTAAACAAACTAAATTCAAGTTTCCTTACACTTAAATAGTATCACAGCATATTTTATGTTCTATTTAAATTCTATTTAAATTCCCTGCTCCACTTAAATTCAGCATCACTCTCCTTTCCCATGAGGCAAAGGCCAAGACAATCTTAAGACATTTTGACTGATATATCTGAACTACCAATTCAGTTCCAAAATCATCTACCTCCCAACTAATCATTGTGTGAGAAAAAGAAACTCTTTTACACTTAAGCCATTATAGTCAGATCTCTTATTAATAGTGTCCAAACCAATCCCTAATTGATACCCTCATATAATGAGGATTTTACATTTAGTTTATTTGAAAATGAGTTCTACCACTTAAAAAAATTTTTTTTAAATGCCCTGATTCTAATGAGATGATGAGAATCAGCACTAAGGCAATGGGAACAGAAAGAAATGGACTTGACAGATACCTGACAGGTAAAACTGACAGGATCTGGTGAGAGAATGTAAACATTATTCATTCATCATTTATTGAATATCTATTATGTACCAGAAGCTGATAGAGAGAAACACAACAGGATCCTGGACCTTAGGAAAAAACAAACACACCAACAATCAGAGCAATATAATAAATATCATGACAAAAATCTAAGAGATAAAAGATGTTATAATAACACAAAAAGAAATGCATTGTTCTGCCTGGGGATGTCAAGGAATATTCAGAGTTGACACTATTGTCCCAACTGCTCCCCTGACCACCAGTAATTTCTGTGTAACTTCTTTCACGTGTAACGGACATCTCAAAGTTACCATGGCCAAAACAAAACTACTAATTTCCCCTAATCTGATCCTCTACAAGTCTTCCCCATATAAATAAATAGCACCATCATCTACTGAGCTGCTCAAGGAAAAAAACCATAGAAATTATCTAATACATATCAACACCCAATATGTCAACTTTACCTTTACAATATATATGCCAAATTCCAATCTGCGATCAGTAACCTTCCTAGAAAACACAGCTGGCAGTACTGTGAGGTTTGTCATTTGTAAAGAGAGTCACACAGATATTCCAGACTATTTACAGATTGTTTGGTTTACACTGAAAGCTATCACTTCACTTTTGTGTGACAGAGAAATGAGATTTCAACAATTCCTTTTTGCATTTTTTATTTTTATTACGAGCCTTTTTATCAACAGATAGAGACTACCTAATTTGGGCATGAGAAGAAAACAGCACAGACACACTGCCTTCAGTGAAGATGCATGCCACTCCATTCATAAGCACCCTTCCCCTGAGGGAGGATAAGAATAAAAACTGTGTTTGGACCACTTGGATTCAAGCTCTACCACACAGCTCACTCTGTGGTGATCACTGATCTCTCTAGCTAACTTTACAGATTCTACCAGAAGAAGAAGAATGAAGGAAAGTTACTCAACCACCCAAAAGAATCTCATTACGGCAATAGTGTGATTGCTTGCAAGTTCCCATACAAAAAGGAATCCTTTCGAAGCACCTGGGATGATGCGTTAGTGTCACAGGATTTTTTTCTTCCTGGTTTCTCTTCACAGGGAAAAAAAATATGAATTCAAAAGGATTCCAGTCTGAGGCACAATCACTTGCTTCCATAACAAAAATATCTCATCTTTTTCGGCACATAAATATTCTTTCATTGGTTAAAAAGAAAAACACCCTTTAATGTCTTAGAACTCTCTGGTGGTAAAAACTGCAGATTTCAAAATTTTCCTTTCATATTCCTATAATTCTCCGAAAGTATTAAGTCTGTGTATGCTTCAATAATTTAGTTTAAAAAATGCTCAATCTGAAATCAACTGCATTGACCATCCGGCTTTGCACGACAGGGAGAAAATAAATGGTTCACTGGTTATTTATACAGAGAGACTAAGAAAGAAGCTATTAATTGCCACTAATTTTATGACAGGCTTTAATGTTTATGAAAGCATGATTTTTTAATTCTATGAGCAATATCCATTTGAGGTTGTAAAAGAAAGAATACGATTCTAACTGTAGGCCGAGCATGGTGGCTCACGCCTGTAATCGCAGCACTCTGGGAGGCCGAGGTGGGCGGATCATGAGGTCAGGGGTTTGAGACCAGCCTGGCCAACATGGTGAAACTGTCTCTACTAAAACTAAAAAAATTAGCTGGGAGTGGTGGCAGGCACCTGTAATCCAGCTACTCGGGAGGCTGAGGCAGGAGAACTGCTTGAACCCGGGAGGCAGAGGTTGCAGTGAGTCAAGATCTCGCCACTGCGCTTTATCTAGCTTGGGTGACAGCAAGACTCTGTCTTGGGAAAAAAAAGATTCAAATTGTAGTTCATTTTGTCTCAACATAGAAACATTTGTTTTTGAATCTTTTCCTCACCATGTAATTCTAATTATAAGAAGCCGATGTTTTATTTCCTTTGAAGTTCTGTTATATCAATGATTATTTTGTATAGATAATTCCTTTAAAAGGCCTACTTAAAGTTAACATCTAAAATACAGTTATGGCAGGGTGCAGTGGCTCACACCTGTAATCCCAGCACTTCAGGAGGCCGAGGCAGGTGGATCACCTGAGGTCAGGAGTTCGAGACCAGCCTTGCCAACACGGTGAAACCCCGTCTCTACTAAAAATACAAAAATATCCAGATGTGGTGGTATACATCTGTAATCCCAGCTACTCGGGAGGCTGAGGCAGAAGAATCACTTGAACCCAGGAGGTGGAGGTTGCAGTGAGCCAAGATCGCACCATTGCACTCCAGCATGGGCAACAAGAGCAAAATTCTGTCTCAAGACAAAAAAAAAATCATAAAACACAGTTATGCCAATGAAATCCTACTCAGGGTGATATCTATATCCACAAGATGAGTGCTCATTATTCTAATAGGATTTGTTGAGGTGCTTTTCAACCCTGTGATGCTGAGATATATAAATAAGAAATCAAAAAAATTAATACAGATATACACATATACACACACACACACACAAAATTCCATCACCTTATTATTATGTCTCATCCTAAAACAGTACCTGGCACGCAATAAGTACTCAATAAATATTTGTTACTTGACTGACTTTGGGAATCAACTTAAATGTCACTCCTTCAAACTCCATAGAACATGTAGTTTGTATCATCTTTAGCATGATTATTTAATTAATACCTAAATTTTCCCATTAAGCACAATAAATGTCCAGACTATAGGCTCCATGTCTATTATGGTGACCTCCCCTTCCCCACAAAGCCTAAGATACTTCCTGGCACAGTCAATGCTCAGTTAAAAACTGGGAAGGAGGAACCAGGAAGGACTGGAGAAGAGATGTGGAAGAGATATTAAAACAGAAAGAGAGAGATGAGGTAAGAGAAGATATTAGGAAAATGGCACAGATTTTTAAACACACAAAAATTGACTGTGTTTCCCAGCTTTTCTTTTTTCCTTAATTTCTTCATAATATCCTCATTCTATTAAACAACTCTGAAAATCCTCACTATTCTAGCAACCTTTCTAACCAACTTGATTTTCCATTTGTTTGTCTTCAGATGTTACACTCAAGATTACAGACTCAAAATTTGTCTAACCAGAACATAATGAGATGATTTCATATGACCTAATATCTTAAGAAATGACCATAAGACATTGTAACTAATTTTCTGAAAACAAATTTATGTCAGAACTGACAAATCCAAACAAAACTTAAGTCTACAACCTTGAGAAGCTAAATACTCACCCAAATTATGCTACCACTGCACTAAGTTTTAAAATTATTTTTGAAATTTCCTTTGGCTGCCTATCATAGCTTCATTTATAAAAGTTTAACTTTACAAACAATATCTTAAAAAAAAAAAAAACCTTGTTAAGTAAACTAAGATGTATCCAAATAACAAACTATGTAGCCATTTTAAATTATATTTATAAAAAAATTTTAAGAACTTATGAAAACATTACTACATGTTAAAAGTCAAAAAAAGGAAAAATAGACAACCATAAATGAATTATCACAATTTTGTTTCAACCCATAGGAAAAAAATTAAGAAGGCAACAAAATTTAGAACTTTGAAATTAGATTAAAAAATAGTAACTGACTGAGCAGACCAAAGAAAACTGAATCCTAAGTCAGCAATGAGAAAGCAAAGACAATGATTATCATGTCAGGACCCTCAAAAATTCAGAAATTAGAAGCTCCAGTTACCAGAACATTTGCATTAGCCAAGTATATATCCTCTAGATAGAATACTGGAATATTTTATCTGAAACAAATCTGATTACCACAAAAAGAAAAACACCTAAAACTACAGCAGGGAATGTGAAAAAACAGCCCTCCCGTGAAGCCTGCAGTCAAGCAAGTTCTATTCAGATGCACAGAGCTTCCAATCAATTTTAGCAGTCCACCCTTACATAAGTGTATGGCCAACAATCAACAAACATCTCAGGAAAGTCAAAGTCAGAAGCTAAAAGTACTAACTAAAATAATCAAGTTGAAAACAGACTATGCAGGAAAAGAAAATCTAACAGAAACAAAACAGCCTATCATTAATATCCTTTGAAAGAGGGGGGAAAAAGATATTGCATTACTGTAGGCATGAACAATAAGATGCCACAACTAAATAATAAAGAAAACTTTTCTTGGAAATTAACAGCAGAAATGAAAACTAAGTGGAAACATTTTAAGAATAAAAAATTCTCCCAGATAATGGAAAAGACGAAAAAAACAATAAAAAAAATTTAGAAGACCATTCGAAGATATCCAATATTTATCTAGAATAGAACAGAAAGCAGAGAAAAAAGTAAAAGAGAAAATGTTCCACAAGTGAAGCATAAGTGCTTCCAAATCGAGAAGGTGTAACTGAGTGCTTTGGTACAATGGATGAAAACAGACCAAGACACGTAACTGTAAAATTTCAGAAAACTGGTGACAAAGCTCATAGATTCACAGTTGGGGGCGGGGGGGGGGGGGAAGAGCTATGCGTGTGTGCACAAATGAATAAAAAATATTTTAAGAAATCGTTGTAGTCAGTGTTTTCTCATGCATACATATTATCTATTCCCACTAGTCACTTCTCTCTTGCCCCTCACTCTAATTAAATTATTACACAATTGTTTTTGCACCCAAATGAGTGGCTTTATTTTTACACCTGTTAAATTTTTTCCTTTATTTTGCTTTTTAGTAAAACTTTAATCATATTGAAGTATATAAAAGGCTGTTACCTCAAGAATGTCAAAACACCGTTAAGTGTTGAAGCTGCATAAGCACCTAAGGGTTCATGTGTACTATTCTACTTGTTACTGGGTTTGAAAATTATTTAATGAAAAGTAAATAAAGTTATCTTAAAGAGGCTGATGGGTTGTCTCACACTTAAGGATGAAAAAATTCTATTTGCAGTAGATATGAAAATAAATTTTAATTCTTAAATCCACTCCTTTGCCCATTCACCCTCGTAAGTGAGTTCAGGCCCTAGTTCATTTCATTCCTATAGTATGGCAACATAACCCTATCTATTTCATATCCCTTTCATTCTACAGCCCATCCTGCTGCCAGTTCCTTTTCTAAAAACCAGATCTGCACTTCATTCTACTGCTCAGGAACTTTCAAACAGCTTCCTATTGGCCACACAAATGTTTGCAGGCTAGTTTAAAATCAATGTCCTGCTCATTATGGCCCTATTTCCAACATTTCTTACATACCACAATATACATAAAGAAAAAATGTTTGCCACACATAGTCTTAATACACACCCTCTTCCCAAATCAGTATTTCTACCAAACATATTAGTATTTAAACACACTGTCAAGGCAAGAAAACCATGAAGACTGTACCCATCAAATTCAAATCTTTCATTCAGAATCCAATCAGAATGGAACACTCTGACCTCCTCTCACATAACCAAAAGAAACTTCAAAATAAGTTTTTCAGTACACAGTATGTATATAAAATACACATTCATAATGGCTACCTTCAATAAGACTGACCCCTAGGAGTTTCTTTTTATTCTCTTTTTAAAAGTCTACTACAAAAAATAAAGTATACAGAAGCTAACAGTTTATGATGGCAGTTCTCGTTTCTATTAAAAAATAAAATAAAATGCACTGCTGCTAATGAACTAGTTCATTAAGACAACTTTTCTACCCATTGTAGTTAAGTTTAATATATTCAATGCCATTATAGACAATATAACCCAAAAAAACCTGATGACCCTTTAAAATACAACAGACATCACCACACACTTTCAAAATATTTGCAAAAGAACCAAATATGCAAAGTAGAATGTAAATTAAAAATAAAATTATCTATATAGAACTGTGTACAGTAGAGTGGTTTATCTGCAGACACAGCACACACACTGCATAAGGCAGTATTCTGGTGGACAGGGCTGCAAACCCAAAAGGGGAGCAGAGGTCTCTTTCCAGTCCACTAAAGTTCCCTGAGTATATAACCCAATCTAAAAGCCACTCCCAATCTTCATCTCAGTGTCATTCAATACAATAATCAACCATCAAGGTAAAGAAAAAAGAGTACACAACCAGTTTTCCATAAAAGAACTATGACAATATAGTATTATTCTTTGGACTGGGTCTGTGATAATACCATGCAATGGAGAAGCCAGAAACCAGACTTGATACACAAGTTGTAGTATCAACCTCAAAGTCTCTCACATAAACCTACTCCTTTCAAGTACCAATTTTTAAAATCAATGGCTTTATCTCATTCTGTTGAGTTCTTAAAGCCTCTCAGAGAATGTCTAAGATTTTTGAAGATATCTTGAGCTATCGGGGCATTACACCAATGGTATCAGTGTTACCAGTATCATAGAGATAAACAGTATGCCACTTCCTTACCGTTTTTTTTTAAAGAAAACAAAAAAGTCTCCAATTCTGTTGATAAAGATTAGAGTATTATCTACAATGAGAGCTTAATCTGTTGCCACTAACTTTTCTATCCTACAAACACGTATTACAACTCAAAATGAAATCACAACATATAGCAAAGAACAGTTTTACTTGGCATTTGTTAGTATAATAGGCTATAAATTCACATGCTTGCAAAAGTGGAGATAAAACAACAATCAGCAAATTTGTAAGTCACCAGGAAGCTGAAGGTTTGGAAAAAAGGTAGCTATTTCCACTTTAATCTTGTCCCTTGAGTAGTGGTATGGGAGCAGACTCAAGAACAAAAAATGAGAGCAACCAAGGATAATTTACTAAAATTCACCTTAAAAAGATTGAATCTGCCATCTTGGATCTCTGCACCTGGTGTAACTTCCATAGTACAGTCTTCGGCCTAAGTTAAATAACATATTCCCCATTAAGATACCACATAATATTTAATTAATAGGCCATATAAAGACAAACTAGCTGTGGCTAGTCTGTGATTTGAAAGTAAGAACATCAGATAATCATTAATACAAAACTCTAAAAGGGAGGGAAGGGAAAAACAAACATGGTAAACAAAATGGAATTTTTAAACTATCGTATATCATTTAACCACTTTTATAGGGAAGTGATTTATTTGGGGAGTAAAAGTGGGACGGTAGACAAGCCAAGGGTATTCCGGAGTATTTCTTAATTACCGTAATTTTATTTGTAGTAGAAGTTACTGGTATAACTTCAAGTCCCATTCGTATCCTCTTTTGTTTTTCACAGTAAGCTTTCCAGGTATCTTCATTAAACCCATAATTAAAATAATCAGAAAGATCAGCACCTAAAGATAAAACACATCTTTAGTGTACAAATATTTCAGCTCTATTTTTATGCAGCATCAAAAATATACTAAACTATAAAAATATAAATTTAGACTTCTATCAGTTATCACTCTATCATTTATGGTGGCAAAAAGACTATAAAATTTTTGATCAAATTATTTCCTTTAGAAATATCATTATAATAAAGTCTACATTTTAAGTAATATGAGGCCGCCAGTAAGATTTAATAATCCAAGTCACTATTACTCATCATTTGCTTAAGACAATTAAAATTATAATGAAAAAATAAAATTCTAAATTGATGCTCAAAAAATTTTCTGATGACTTCACACTAAAAATATTGAAATTAATATAATCCACAACAGTCTTACCAGGTTTACGCCATGGTTTATCTTCAAAAGAATCCAAATCTACCTCTAAAAGTGGAACTCCATTAATGCTTCCAGGTGCATCAAGGTCTACTCCTTTGACTTTTGTTCCTGTTTTATAAAATTACAAAATGAAGGAGCTACACTTGCAAGAAGCTGGGACATACCATAGACAAACAGAAGATATAAACACCTTTTTACTATTCCTGGCACACATACACACACAAACAGAAAACAAACATTTTTTTACTATCCCTGGCAAAAAACCTGGCAAGCATTCCCAACAAAGCAGAGCCTAAAATATGTGCTACTGGACTATTTACAGAAAAAATTTACCAGTCCCTGTGATGTATGGTCAAAAATTACCTTTAAAAAGAGCTATTATATTATCACCTTGGCCAGGCGCAGCAGCGCACACTTGGAATCCCAACAGTCTGGGAGGCCAAGGCAGGCAGATCACTTAAGCTCAAAAATTCGAAACCAGCCTGAACAACATGGCGAGACCCGGTCTCTACATAAAAACACAAAGATTGGCCAAGCATGGTGGTGCACGCCCACAGTCCCAGCTATTTGAGAAGGTGAAGTGGGAGGATGGTTTGAGCCTGGAAGATGGAGGGTGCAGTGAACTAAGATTGCGCCACTGTACTCCAGTCTGGGTGACAAAGTCAGACTCTGTGTCCCACTAAAAAAAGAGTGATTAAGACCTATTTAAGATATGTGCCTTATTTCTCTACTGATGCAACAGAAAATACAAACTTTACCTGTAGTTCCATAAACTCTTCCTCCTGTCTTGATGTTAAGATTTACAGGTGCTGTACCATAACTCCTAAAAACAAACAAACAAAAAACCAAAAATTATCCTGAAAAGCTTAAACAAAGCAGTAATATTTCTATTTTTATTTTTCTATTTTTTATAATTTCTATTTTTATTTTTTAAATTTTGGATAGATGAGATCTCACAGCATGTCGTCCAGGCTGGTCTCAAACTCCTGAGCTCAAGCAATCCTCCCGCCTTGGCTTCCCAAAATGCTGAGATTACAAGAGTGAGTCACCGTGCCCAGCTAATACACATTTTAAAAAACATTTTAAACTAGTTTCTAAAGTCACCTGCTCAATAAAAGGCAAAAACATTAAAAAAAAAAAATGACTTGTTTCCATTTCAAAAATCTCTTTGCCACTAACTCAACATTCTACTGTAACAAACTTCACAAGAAATAAGGCTAAGAAGGGAAACATAGTTTATACCCCTTTTCTTCATTTCCTTGCCTGCCAGTTATTACACATACAGCAATCTTAAGCATAAGTAAAATTCCTCCAACTTGTTGTTAAATCCAGTGGCCTTTCAGTTCTTCCCGCAGTTGATATTGTTAATAAATCCTTTTTCAACCATTCATGGAGTTCATAATAGAAATTTATTGTCATGAAATTCAAAAATAAGTCTAGCATGAAAGCAGAACAGTGTTTACCAGTGGTGGGTGGTTAATGACCAAGAGGAAAAATGAGAGAAACTTCTAGGATGCCAATTATGTTTCGTATCTTGATCTGGTTGTAGTTACATGAATGCATATATTTGAAAAAAGTATTAAGCTGCACCTTTTTAGATGTAATATAATACACAGTGATAAAGAAAAAAATTTCTGAAGTTGGACCAATCCACATTCAAATGTTTTGTCAGTTGTTAGTGTAATCTTGGCCAAGACATCTAAGACTCGTATATAATTATTTGAATATTTCATTGCATTTATACTTGTATAAATGAACCTCATATAAATTTTCTGTAAGGGGTTACAGATAGTTCTTTACTTTTTTTATATAATGGATTCTTATATATGCGTAGTATTATCAAATATACTAATTAAAATAGACTTTTCTGTTACTAGGGAAATTAGAAGAAAACAGGAATGGGCAAAGAAGGACCAACTCCCACTGAACAAAAAGATATCAGTAAGACGGCAGGCGATGGCTCACACCTGTAATCCCAGCACTTTGGGAGGCTGAGACGGGCAAATCACGAGGTCAGGAGATCGAGACCATCCTGGCTAATACGGTGAAACCCCCTCTCTACTAAAAAATAGAAAAAATTAGCCAGGCGTGGTGGCGGGCACCTGTAGTCCCAGCTACTCAGGAGGCTGAGGCAGGGCAATGGCATGAACCCAGGAGGCAGAGCTTGCAGTGAGCCGAGAACACGCCACTGCACTCCAGCCTGGGCCACAGAGCGAGACTCCGTCTCAAAAAAAAAAAAAAAAAAGATACCAGTAAGACCTCAAGTCATAGGTATTTTCAATGATATATTTCTCACATTATATTCATGTGGCATATTTGGTTCTTTTCTCTCAGAAGTTCAGCCATCTGGACTTTAGATTCACTGCTTTGGGTCTAATAATAATTACTTCCATCTTTTGTCTCTAATGTACTAAATATAAGACTTAGGTTGAGTTACATTTGCACTGTCATTTTTCTTTTCCACTTAAAAAAGAAAAATGTAAATGCAATAAAATGTTTAAGTAATTGTATCAAATAATTGTAGCTTCACAGCTAGAAATGCAAGAATTACAAAGTGGACCAAATATTACTGTCAAGCAGTACTATCATCACCAACTTGAAATAATCACTTTATAAACTGATTAATTCATGTAATGCTTACTGAGCACCAAAACCATGTCAGGTATGATTCTAGGCTAAGGAAAAAGTATGAGGAGCTGGACAAATTTGGTCCCTGCCTTCACGATGTTTACATTTTAACAATCCAAATTCAGCAAAAGTGACTTAGTGCTATCTACATATGATGTACATCTGTAGAAAAATCTTTCTACATCTGTAGAAAATTTTCTACATCTGTAGAAAAATCAAGGATTTTCTCTAAACTGTTCTCTTACAGGACTGCTATAGAATAAAATGGCATTTTTATAAAAGGCTTAGCCCTAAGTCTTCAATAGATGAGCTTCTTTGCTTTCCATCTAGCTACTTTCTATTCCCCATTCTGCCTTTTAAAACATCATTTTTCTTTTTCAAGCCACAAGCCTTTGTATTCATTCTGCGTAGAGAAGCTTAGTGGTATGAAAATTTGCAGAGGCAAATTTGATATAATGTCCAATAGATCCCCATGAACTCTCAGACCACTCTAAATGCTAGATCCTATACTTGGATTTTCTATAGGAATTTCAAAATAAACATATCAAATGAATCTATTTTGTGGGAGGTGGGAGGAGTAGCGCCCACCTGGACCCAATTAACTGCTCTAGAAATCTTTAAGTCCCTTTATCTCCTCCTCCATCCACAACCAACCAGTTACCCATGTTATTTGTTATTTCTTTCTTTTTATTCTTTGAGACAAGATCTTACTATATGGCCCAGGCTGCCCTGAAACTCCAAGGCTCAAGCGATCCTCCTACCTCAGCCTCCCAAGTCCATGGGACTACAGGTGTATACCACATGCCTGACTATATTTGTTTCTCAAATATTCAAATATACTATTTTCCCATTCATCTCTCTACTACTGCTGCCTTAGTCTAGATTATCATCTCACCTGGACAACTACTTCACATCTATTAGTCAATGTCTCTCCATCTAACCCATCTCAACTACTGATGCTACAATAGTTTCTACTCTATAGAAATCTAAAGTGTCTAAAGGTAATACCTTTTCAAATAATATAATCTATCTAAAAACCTAATCGGGGTGTCTAAGTGAGAGAATACAGTCATAGGTCCTCAGTTTCTGTTCTGGTTAGGCCAGTAAAGCCCCTTCATCAACCCTCTTTTCCACTTATCACTGGAGACAGAAACTAAAAACCACGGCTTTGGGCAGCTAAAAGCCTAAAACAAACCAAAACAGAACAACAACAACAACAACAACATAACGTCGGCTGGTTGGACAACCTTGCAAGGTCTACAAAGACATAGCAAATGCATCCTAACTCCTTTCATAAGTGATTTCAACCATCTCTTTTCATCTACCTTATCCTCCAGCCATGTACTTCCTCCAAGCCATGCATCTACTACATTTATTTTTAAGCAGTGTCCTCCACCTAAAAACCATTGTCTCCCATCTCAAAAACTATTCAAATTCAAATGTCACCTCTGGGATCTTCTCTTCAATACCTGTAGGCTTTCAGCAACTCTCCTCTCAAACTTTTCTAATCACTTTGTACATGTTTCTATTGTAGCACTTATGTTGCACTGAAAATATTTACTCACATGTCTGTTTTCCTCACTACCTCTGGAAAATAATAACTTCTTGTATTCTCATAAATTAATACATTCACAAATAAAAAAATTGCTGCTTTCATGTAACTCTATCTAATTTGTTGACTCCAGGAAATTTCATCATGATTTTACCAAGAGTTCTTTTGTAGCACGGTAAATGTAAAAAAAATATAATAATGGAATGATCATAGATGGTTTAATAAAGGCACATTATCTTTGCTACTTAACACAGTGCCAAATAAATTATGCCTTTAAAAAGTATTTATTGAGTATATAAATGGATGAATCTCACAGAGATAGATAACAAACTACTTTCCAAGATAAATTATTCCTACTTTAAGACTTGGTTTTCTTCATACCTTACACACATATAAAATGAACTTGTAACAAAGGTATGTTACCTAAAAAAACAACCTGTAACAATTTACAATAAATCAATTCAGTACTATTCCTTTAACACAGTTTGTTCTTTAAATTTGCTTCTGAAAACGCTGTGCAGAAGTAAATGTTTATCAAATTTCATTTTCTCACGTACTTTGTTTTCAAGGGATATACCCTGAAATACAGAGGTTAAGCAACTTTACACTCTTCACAAATACTTGTACTTTACTTTGGAAATTCATAAAATGAATAAAAAATAAATCAACTGATAAATGGGTAAAGGCATAGAGAGAGGGATATGAGTTCAAGCAAACAAAGCAAAATGCAGATTGTATAATCTAGGTGATAGGTAAATGAGCAGTCACAGGTCAATTCCTTCAACTTTTGTGAGTATTGGAAAATTTTCATAATCAAATGTCTAAGGGGAAAAAACCTTCAGAGACAACTGTAACTAAATAACATTCAGTTTATTTAGTCAATAACCATTTACGGCACACTTACTATATTTAAGGCAATGTGAGGAAGAGAAAAATTCATAAATCAGTTTCCTGTTTTTTTGAAGAGTTTTGAATACAATGGTTTCTACTCTATAGAAATCTAAAATGTCTAAAGGTAATAAATATGTATAAACATAATTACAATGCATAAAACTAAAAACTGCTGTAAGAAATAAAGTTTAGTAAGGTACTACGAAAGTCCACATATATTTAATATTTGAGTGCAATTTCTACCAAAAAAAGGTACCATTCACAATCCAAAAAATTGTCATTTGCTTCAAATTGTTCTATAACTTGCAAGTACAAATAATTTTATATAATATTTAATGAACATGCAATTATTACAATTTTAATAAGTGTTTCTTTTGCATAATACAGACAGTAAAGGCCTATTATTAGCAGAAAGCCCTACTAGTACTACAGTATAAGCCCAACTTTCTCATTAAGTAATTATTTACTTTCCCAAATGAGAATGAGGAGCACATTTAGAATATGCACCCCTAACATGAAAAACTAGCCTCTTTACTCTGTTCCCTAAAAAGGTACTAGGATTTTAAAATTACATGGGTACATGTATCATTACTATAATACAAAACTGACTATGACAATAACTGAACTGGCTTTAAGCTTCCTGAAATGACTTTTGAAAATAAATGACTCTACTAATAAAATATTTAACAATATTTTTGTATATACTGGTTGATTCCAGATGAGGTTGCTTAATAAACTACAGTGAAATTAATGTATTTTATGTTTCCAATGCATAAGCTATCCAATCTGAAAAACAAAACACATTAACTCTTATTCTCCTATTGTAACTAAATCACAATTCGTACTTCAATGCATTTCCCTTCCAATCTTTCTGTAAGATTCTTTATGTGCTCAATGCGTCAATGACAGTCCATTCAATTGGTCCAGTTTATAGAACACAAAATTTGAGACAAACATTGGCCTAAAAGGCCTACAGGAGAATTAAAAACCTGAAAACACTATTAACAACCAAAAGAAATACTTTTGATATTGTTTTTATTGGACAAAAAAATTAAAAACCTAAACTCAGGTCTGGATAAGTAATAAAGCGAAACAATAAGCACAGACACAAATTACAATTTAAGGATTTCTAATTCAAAACAAAGAATTTATAGTATTTTTTTTTTCCCTTGAGACAGAGTCTCACTGTTATCCAGGCTGGAGTGCAGTGGCTCGATCTGGGCTCACTACAACCTCCACCTACCAGGTTCAAGTGATTCTCCTGCCTTAGCCCCCAAGTAGCTGGGATTACAGGCACCCACCACCACGCCTGGCTAATTTTTGTATTTTTAGTAGAGATGAGGTTTCCCATGCTGGTCAGGCTGTTCCTGAACTCTTGACCTCAGGTGATTCACCCACCTCAGCCTCCCAAAGTCCTGGGATTACAGGCATGAACCTCCATGACTGGCCTAGTACTCAATTCTTTTATAAAAGCACTTTAAATTCAGGATCAAAAACTGCTGCTTCCATATACCTTTGCCTAATCAGTTAACTTTATTTTAGGAAAGAAGTATCTTCATGATGAAACTTTAACAAGAGTTCTTTTATGTTAAAATAGAAAAACGTAAAAACAATGGAATCAACCACTGAGAGATTAACATAGGCACACTCTCTTTGCTATATAGCATTTACACAATTGTTACTTACTAAAAAATAACATACCCATACTGTGGTGCTCCCGTTTTAATGTCTCCTATAGTGACATGAACATCATCTTCATCATCATCGCTGTCACTATCACTATCATCTTCAGTCTCAGTCACTTTCTACATGAACATAAACAAATTATAACATACATTCAATAATCCATTTCAACATCTAATACTAATAACTAAAAAAAGTAACCACCCTGGTTTTTTTTCTTTCTTCTTTCTTGAGACAGAGTCTCACTTTGTCACCCAGGCTTGAGTGCAGTGGTGTGATCTCAGCTCACTGCAACCTCCGCCTCCCAGGTTCAAGCAATTCTCCCGCCTCAGCCTCTAGAGTAACTAGGATTACAGATGCCCACCACCATGCCCAACTAATTTTTGTACTTTTAGCAGAGACAGGGTTTCACCATGTTGGCCAGGCTGGCCTCAAACTCCTGACCTCAGGTGATCCACCCGTCTTGGCCTCCCAAAGTGCTGGAATTACAGGTGTGAGCCACTGCGCCCGGCCCCACTCTGTATTTTTTTGAGATATAATTTAAAAGTTACAAGCTTATAATGCTGCCACCTATTTCAACTCATAATTTTGATGTTCTACATAATAAAAAGGATAAGACTATGAATAAAGAAATGAAATATTTTTTGGCATCATCTCCTTTTGGTAAACAACAACTCATATTTCTTTTTTACTATTATATCTGCCCCTCTTGCAAAAAGGATATAAAGCAACTTACTAAGATATCTACAAAATAAAACTATAAAAAATACATATTTGAGAATTCTTGGCAAAAAAAGAATCTAAGAGGAAAACAATTTTAAGATTCACAATGTCACAAATAAAAAGTACCAAATCAATTAAAGAATTTAAAAAAACCCAAAACATAAGTACCAAATAGTTAAGTAGACGCTCAATTATTCTTGGTATTCTTGTATACCTAGAAGAGGCCCTACATGCAAATTCTACATTTGTGAAGATTTTACTTTGGCTCTTAAAGGCTATTTTGTGCTTAATCACATCATAGTAAATAACTAGATGACATATGCAAAATACTTTTTGTACACAACTACAAACTTGCAGAACAGTAACTTCCTTCTTTTTATAGGATTAAAATGTACAAATATTCATAGGACCAGTGATACGTTCACCTCACAAAGTATCAAAGGCATGCAGGCATGCAGTCAGGGACTGTCACATACATTAAAAAGCACTGCTAAAAAATCACAACATTCAAAGGCTGTGGGACTCAAAACTTGCTCTGAAAACCAGGCACACTATATTCAGTAGATTTATAACCATTCAGTTCCTTGAAAGCAATAAACATCAAGCCTTTGCACATACTATTTTCCTCTGACGTCTTTCTACTATTTCTTTTCCTCCTTGCTAATTCCTATATATGTTTTTGACAGCACCAGATGCAGTAGGAGACATAAGAAAGGGTCACATAACACAGGATACTGAAGGTAATGTAAAATGTCAGCTTGTTTTCTACGTAAACTGTGAAGCTATTGATAAAGATTTGTATCTGGAAAGTAACTGGATTTCAAAGCCTTATGTTACCGGTTTTGGTACACCATTTTCGGCAGTTTCATCTTCAATTCCAGATGGAGGATTAGCACTACAAACAACAAAAATAAGTATACACATCAGGCATTACTCTTCCGAAGTGCAGATAGGTTATATTAGTATTTCTAAGCTACATCTAATAAAGTCCCTAAAATTATTGTCTCCACTGGAGACAGTAATGGCAAAATCTGACTGTCGTATTCCCTGTTATTTCTAGTAACTTGCATAAAACAAGTACTCAACATTGTAAGTAGAATGCAAATGCCAGGCTGGGCGCGGGAGCTCACACCTGTACTCCCAGCACTTTGGGAGGCTGAGGCGGGTGGATCATGAGGTCAGGAGTTCAAGACCAGCCTAGCCAAGATGATAAAACCCCCACCTCTACTAAAAACATAAAAAAAAAAATTAGCCAGGCATTGTGGTGGGCGCCTGTAAAACCAGCTACTCGGAGGGTGAGGCAGACAATGGCTTGAACCTGGGAGGTGGAGGTTGCTGTGATCATGCCACTGCACTCTAGCCTGGGCAAGAGTGAGAGGCTGTCTCAAAAAAAAAAAAAAAAAGAACGCAATTAATGATTTATAATTTGATGGTGGGCTGAAATTCAAGCTTTTTACACATTTTAAAACTATATGACAAACTTAATCAATTTTAATTATCCTAAATCTTTACTGAACATCCACTGTGTACCATGTACTACTACTATCACTACCCAGACCTACGTAATACAGTTTCCTCTTTTCCTTGGTGTTCAAGAACTCAGATTTGTGGTATAATCACATTAACTCTTTCAGTATTCAGTTAACATACACGCTTCTTCTTGGTTCTCTGTGTTATCAATCTTATTGAAGATACGTCCTTTATTGAATAAAAAATAAAATTTTAAGATTAAAAAAAAGTATCTTCATTCAAGGCTGTTCTCCAATTCGATATTAATAAGGAGCTAATTCTCATGAATGTTAAAAGTAATTACTTTAAGACCAGTTAATACTTGAACTTGTCTTTTCACAACAAAACTGGTATGCAACAATAAAACATTCACATTCCCATGAAACTCAAGCATATGGTCATTTACCAGCAAATAACACTTCCAGTACCATAACGTAATTGGTTTCTTACATTTTTTAGTAATTAAAATTTCAACAGTGGGAATTAACCATCACCTCATTTCACAGATAAGAAAACTGAAGTACAAAGCAAGTAGCTGATTTGGCCCAACTTTCTAAATTATTTAGTAGCATTCTTAACAAAAATGTCCAGATGTTGACACAGTTCAGAGCACTTTTCATTAGATTTCTGCTAATCTCTTCTAAACTGCACTTTCTGTTGGGTAGTTTCTATGTAAATCAATTTGATCTTCACAGGGGCATTTTATACCACAATCACCAAATAAAGCAAAATGAAAGATAAAAAGTCAAAACCTAACTGTTAAATTTTCATTGTTCCACTGCTTGCTTCAAGAAAACAAATATACAGCTGTAATTGTTCAGTACATTTACCTCCTGCTGAAATAAGCTTCTCGGTAGCCAGAAACAAGTCCCATTTGCTTTCTATGTCACAAAACAGTATCCTTTCTTAAGTCAAAACTTGGGTAGATATAACACAATTGGAGACTGTAATGCAATGTTTAAGAAAAACAGGGGCTTCAGCAATGAGCCTGTCAGTAGGAAACTGGGGCAAATTCTAACAGCAGGAACTTAGGTAGAGCAATGCAGTGATGTACCAAGCCAGATAGCAGTATGTTTGGCAGAGTTCCTTTCTTCAATAGGCCTACTCTTTTAGAAGTTTTAATTTTCTATCACCATGAGAATGTTAGAAACATGATAAAATTTTAAGCTTTTTCTAGAAAAATAACACTGTAAAGGAATTTGTTTTCTCCCCCATAGGATGAAATCAACTCAATGGCTCCCCAAATGAAGTTGTAGAAAGAAATATAAAGCTATGTTGACAGTGAGACTCAGGGAAAGTAGAAGGTTCCCTCCAATAAATTTCAGCAAGTTGCGTATTGCAGAATTAAAATTAAAGAACGTTTGATCAGAAAATAAGATTTTAAAATAATGTACCTCAAAATAATAAGAGCTATTTATGACAAACCCACAGCCAATATCATACTGGAAAAATTCCCTTTGAAAACTGGCACAAGACAGGGATGCCCTCTCTCACCACTCCTATTCAACATAGTGTTGGAAGTTCTGGCTAGGGCAATCAGGCAAGAGAAAGAAATCAAGGGTATTCAGTTAGGAAAAGAAGTCAAATTGTCCCTCTTTGCAGATGACATGATTGTATATTTAGAAAATCCCATTGTCTCAGCCCAAAATCTCCTTAAGCTGATAAGCAACTTCAGCAAAGTCTCAGGATACAAAATTAATGTGCAAAAATCACAAGCATTCTTATACACCAGTAACAGACAAACAGAGAGCCAAATCATGAATGAACTTCCATTCACAATTGCTTCAAAGAGAATAAAATACCTAGGAATCCAGCTTACAAGGGATGTAAAGGACCTCTTCAAGGAGAACTACAAACCACTGCTCAGTGAAATCAGAGGACACAAACAAATGGAAGAACATACCATGCTCATGGATAGGAAGAATCAATATCATGAAAATGGCCATACTGCCCAAGGTTATTTATAGATTCAATGCCATCCCCATCAAGCTACCAATGACTTTCTTCACAGAATTGGAAAAAACTGCTTTAAAGTTCATATGGAACCAAAAAAGAGCCCGCATCTCCAAGACAATCCTAAGTCAAAAGAACAAAGCTGGAGGCATCACACTACCTGACTTCAAACTATACTACCAGGCTACAGTAACCAAAACAGCATGGTACTGGTACCAAAACAGAGATATAGACCAATGGAACAGAACAGAGTCCTCAGAAATAATACCACACATCTATAGCCATCTGATCTTTGACAAACCTGAGAGAAACAAGAAATGGGGAAAGGATTCCCTATTGAATAAATGGTGCTGGGAAAATTGGCTAGCCATAAGTAGAAAGCTGAAACTGGATCCTTTCCTTACTCCTTATACGAAAATTAATTCAAGATGGATTAGAGACTTAAATGTTAGACCTAATACCATAAAAACCCTAGAGGAAAACCTAGGTAGTACCATTCAGGACATAGGCATGGGCAAAGACTTCATGTCTAAAACATCAAAAGCAACGGCAGCAAAAGCCAAAATTGACAAATGGGATCTAATTAAACTAAAGAGCTTCTGCATAGCAAAAGAAACTACCATCAGAGTGAACAGGCAACCTACAGAATGGGAGAACATTTTTGCAATCTACTCATCTGACAAAGGGCTAATATCCAGAACCTACAAAGAACTCAAACAAATTTACAAGAAAAAAACAAACAACCCCATCAAAAAGTGGGCAAAGGATATGAACAGACACTTCTCAAAAGAAGACATTCATACAGCCAACAGACACATGAAAAAATGCTCATCATCACTGGCCATCAGAGAAATGCAAATCAAAACCACAATGAGATACCATCTCACACCAGTTAGAATGGCGATCATTAAAAAGTCAGGAAACAACAGATGCTGGAGAGGATGTGGAGAAATAGGAACACTTTTACATTGTTGGTGGGATTGTAAACTAGTTCAACCATTATGGAAAACAGTATGGCGATTCCTCAAGGATCTAGAACTAGATGTACCATATGACCCAGCCATCCCATTACTGGGTATATACCCAAAGGATTATAAATCATGCTGCTATAAAGACACATGCACACGTATGTTTATTGCAGCACTATTCACAATAGCAAAGACTTGGAATCAACCCAAATGTCCATCAGTGACAGACTGGATTAAGAAAATGTGGCACATATACACCATGGAATACTATGCAGCCATAAAAAAGAATGAGTTTGTGTCCTTTGTAGGGACATGGATGCAGCTGGAAACCATCATTCTTAGAAAACTATCACAAGAACAGAAAACCAAACACCGCATGTTCTCACTCATAGGTGGGAACTGAACAATGAGATCACTTGGACTCGGGAAGGGGGACATCACACACCGGGGCCTATCATGGGGAGGGGGGAAGGGGGAGGGATTGCATTGGGAGTTACACCTGATGTAAATGACGAGTTCATGGGTGCAGCACACCAACACGGCACAAGTATACATATGTAACAAACCTGCACGTTATGCACATGTAGCCTAGAACTTAAAGTATAATAATAATAAATAAATAAAATAAATAAAAAATAAAAAAATAAAAATCAATGGGATAAAGATGATCATAGAGAGAAATATATTTGATTGTAAAACTATACCCTGTAATTAATTTCTTGACCAACTGAAGGAATGGATATAAAGAAATATTCAATCACATTCATAACATAAATTAAAACTAATCTCAACTTTGTGGTTGAGATCTGAATTAGGAAATGAGTTGAACACATAAATTTTAAAATGAAATAACATTTCAGATAATATATCAATGAGTGAAAAGACTATAGGGGATTTTTTGGGTAAGGAAGTTGAACTGTAGTTTCAGATCCTCCTAAGCTATTTCTACTTCCATTTCTCACTTTTTCCCTCTATTCATTTTTTGTTGTTAACAGCTTTGAGATGCAATTCACATATTACACAATCTATCCATTCAAACAGGACCACTGAGTTTTAATATGTTCACATAGTCCAACCATCACAACTATCTAATTCCAGAATATATGCATCACTCCCAAAAGGAACTCTGTATACATTAGCAATCACTCACCCAACTCTTAGCAACCAGTAATCTGTCTCTATGGACCGGCTTCACTTGCATATTTGCAAGGTTCGTCCATATTGTAACATCTACCAGTACTTCATTTTATTTTCCCTGCCAAATAACATTCCACTGTATGGATATAACACACTTAATCTACCCATTCATCAGTTGATGCAGCTGCGAGGTTTTTTTTTCCATTTTCTATTAACAATGCTGCTATGAATATTCACGTACAAGTTTTTGTGTGAATGTTTTTCATTTCTCTAAGGTGGAGGGCTCATATGGTAACTCCATGTTTCACCATTTGAGAAAATGGTCAGGCTGTTCTTCAAAGCAGCTGCACCATTTTACAATCCCACCAGAAGTGTATGAGGGTTTTATTTCTCCATATCCTCACCAACACCTGTTTTATCTTTCTGATTGCAGCTTACTCGGTATGAAGTGGTATATCTTCCACTTTTTAAACCCAAATATTCTTTAAAATCTTCTACCTACCTCTCCATTACTGACACTAATGCAAGTGGTCAGGGTAAAGCCGACATCTCCATGTACTTCTTTGCATGGGTTGTTTTCTGAAATTCGGGGTAAAATTCTGACTCCCTGTATATGTTCTATAATCAAATACTTACATCTTTCTTATAATCTAACAAAGAAATCAATCTTATAACAAATCAGCTAATTACATTTTGAATGTAAATAATACATAGCATTGAAATTACAACCAAAGTGCCATTATACCATCAAAAATGTTAATAAACTGGAAAAGCAGTAGTTTGGAGTGTTCCTGATTTACTTAAAAACATTTTCAATTAAGTTAAAATATTTTTATCGGTAGCTTAATGATTATACTGTATACTTCACTACTGAAGTCACTTAAGAGTAACAAGTTACTTAACAGTGTAAAATCAGTCCAATCCTAAGTTCAAAAACTTTGTCCTTTAAACTATCAACAAACAGAATTGGCATAAGATTAGGTCCTGAAACTGGAAAAACCTTTAAAGGATTCGATGTCCTCCAAAATGTTGTAAGTGTTGTAATGACGCCAATGATTGTAAGAAAATAATTTTGACAACTGACAGAACCATTGTATCACACAATCTGTGTAATAGGCATCAACAGAAAATTTCACTAACCTGGCATTTTCTTCTTCTGGCCTTTCAACTTCATTTTCATCTACCAAGTAAAATAAACAAATAAATAAATAAGCAAACAAAATAAAGAAACCACTCTTAAAGAAACTAGTATTATGAAAATCTGAAGTGATCATCACAAGCACTAACCTAGGTCCTTTGTCAAATCACTGTGCACATGCACGTCCCATGGGCCTATAAGCACATCCAAAGTTAGATCACCTTATAATTACTTAACAAGATACGTATTTTATGGAAAAAAAAAAATCAGACTTTACTGGTATAAAAATAAGCTTAAACTTAAGAGGTACTGAAGATTTCCAGATCTTTGTAAAAGAAATCCTACACATTCACATTTCAAAGACTAATGCTAAATCTTGCCACCAAAGATAATTTTTTTTTTTTTTACAAGTTTATCAAAGTTACATCATCAAGGACCTGCGTGGTGCCCAATGTGCACTTTTACTGTTCTATTCTAAAGACAATCAAGAATGTATGTTTCAGGCAAGGAACAAACATTAAGTTTCAAATCTGGTGTAACAGGCAAGAAGGGATTGTGAATTAACGAAAGTTAAAAACCAGATGTCCCTTCTAGAGAGAAGTACATGATGCATTAAATTTATTTTGAGAAAAAGAAATTTATGAGATGACACTGAAAACTATAAGCCGAAGGGTCATGAGATACCTCCATGATGTAGGTTAAACGGCAGTCTCTTAAAAAAGAAAAACTTCACCTTAATACAGGAGACATTCAGGGTTTTCTTTATGGGCCATCTTTCTCTCTCTCTCTCTTAATTAATTATTTTTAAAGCACGACTTTCAGACAAGGAGGTACCCTTGCAGGTGCATTCCATACAAACTGACCATCAAGAAACAAGACGTTAGTTGTACAGCATTAACTTTATTTCGCTATTATTACAGAATGACTGTTTCTGAAAGAAGGGACAGGAAGGGCACCCTAAGGCCACGGGGCAAAAACAGACACAAAAAACCACCACCTCAGAATCGACAGAAAAAAACAAGGGTAAAGAGCGCAGCAGCGAGGCGACCGAGACGCCCCAGGGAAAGCACGGCGAAGCCGGGGACCGGGACCAGTCACAGCCCCCCAGCCCTGCCCGGCCGCCGCAGGGTGGGTGCGTATGGTGGGCTTGGGCCAGGCGGGAGACCGCCGCGGGAGCGGGGGGCACGCGCACGCTGCGCTCGGCCTAAGTCAGGCCGGACAGGACTCCCAACCAGAGGCCCGAAGGGGCGGCGCGAGGGGCCGGAACGCCGGCCGTTTGAGGGCCAAGAGGGGAGGCCTAAGAGAACCCGAGAAAGAGACAGGGACAGGAAGTTCCGTACCGCCATAGAGCCACTCTTCCTCCTCATCCCCTCCGGTCCCGCCGCTCAGCTCCGACACTAGGCGCTCGACCTCGCCGGCCGACATGGCCGCCCCAAGCGCAACTTAAACGCGGCGATCAACAGCCCCCTCCAACCCCTTCCCAGCCTCTCAGCCCCGGGGCGCGAGAAGGGCGCGAACCCGCCGGCGAGCGAACGAAGAAAGCTCGAGACTCAAATCCCAGGAAGGCGGCAGCAGCGGTGGTAAAGATGAAGACTCCAGCGCGGATCCGCCTGCGCATGCGCAGCAGACCCAAGCGGCGCGGCGTCTATAGGTGGCTTCGCTTCCGCGGCGGCGGCCACCTGGGCCTGGTTGCGCCTGCGCGCTGAGGTGGGCCCTGCCCCTCTAGGATCCCGCTTTGCTGTTTAGCGTGGCTTCCTCTCGTTGCATCCTGAGTAGTCCAGGGTTCCCCGCCCCCACCCTTCCTTTTAATAACCCGTATTGCCATTGCTAGCGAGTACACCATTGTTCCCTTCCACTCTTCGTGCTCTTTCTTCTCAACCTTTTCTTTGCTTTTTAATCTTCCGAAAGGCCACCTTTTATTCTTTAATCAGCCTTGATACAGAATCATTACCTGTCACTCCCTTTCCTCACTGAATGGAGAAGAAATCACAGTACTATTTCTTGAAAAATTAATTTTCACAGCCAACAAAAGCAAAACTAATAGATGAAGAATGCACCCTCCTTGTTAAAAACCATAAATTACTGTCAAGGTCAAAGACCGCCTCGTTCCCCTACCCTTCTCTCCAGAGGTAGCCCTTGTTACAGATGCATATCCTGTTTGGAGTTCATCATTCTGAAATTTCCTATACACTTACTTCCTGTGTTGTACTGTTTTGGTGGGAAAACCTGAGACTGACAAGTCTTAAATAGTACAGTATAGTATAGTATCATCCGGCGACTTCCTTTTTTTTGGTTAGCATCCGTGTCTTGGAGCTGTTTTGCATTTTTGTATGAGTCAAACTATATCCATTTTAAGTGCTTCATAAAATTGCATAGTATGGCTATCACAGAGTGAATATGGCTATTTCTCCATTGATGTACACCCAGATTGCTTTCGACTTTACACTTTTAACTGCAACAAAAAACGACAATGAAGATCCTCGTGGCTTCTTGAGATTTGTCTGTTTCTCGAAGATAGATCATAAAGTATGTACAGTTTTTATTTTAATAGGTAAACCAAATGTTCAGGCCACTTCTGAAAGCACATCTTTAAGTGAAAAGATGACATACTGTGCTTCAAACTGGAGCGCCAGGTTTTTTGTTTGTTTGTTTATTCATTTGAGGTGGAGTCTCGCTCTGTTACCTAGGCTGGAGTACAGTGGTGCCATCTCTGCTGACTGCAACCTCCACTTCCTGGGCTCAAGTGATTCTTCTTCCTCAGCCTCCCAAGTAGCTGGGATTACAGGCACGCGCCACCACGCCCAGCCAATTTTTCTATTTATAGTAGAGAGGGGTTTCACCATTTTGGCCAGGTTAGTTTTGAACTTCTCACCTCAGGTGATCTGCCCGCCTTGGTCTCCCAAAGTGCTGGGCTTACAGGGATGAGCCACCACGCCTGGCCTGTTTGATTTTTGTTTTGTTTTGTTTTGTTTTTTAAAAAAACAACAACAACCATCTTGCTCTGTAACCCAGGCTGAAATGCCGTGGCAGGGTCACTGCTCACTGCAGCCTCTACCTCCCAGACTCAAACAGTCCTCCCACTTCAGCCTCCTGAGTACCTGGGACTACAGACAAGCAGATGCCACCACACCTGGCTAATTTTTTATTTTTCTTAGAGACAATGTCTCACCATGTTGCCTAGGCTGGTCTGGAACACGTGATCTCTAGCAATCCTTCCACCTAGGCCTCCCAAAGTGCTGGGATTACAGGTATGAGCCACCAGGCCTGGCCTCAGTTCTTCATTATACTTAGCAGGTTGTATAGTCAGGCAATCAACCTTTCTATGCTTCAGTTTCCTCATCTATAAAATGGAAAGGCTAAATTAAATTACCTCTGAGGTCTCTTTCATTTATAAAGTTTACAAACAGGGCATTCACTTGTCAACAGAGAGAAATCCATTTTAATTGAACAAATAAATGAGTTTTCTTGCTCCTCAATGAATAAATATTGTTTTATCATTTATTTATTTAGCAATTACAGAATATCTGCTCTGTTTAAGAACTTGGAAAATGAAAACAGGAGTGAAAGAGTCCCAGCCCTTAAAGAGCTCTCAAGTTATTGAGAAAGACAGGGGTGGTAAACAACTCTCCTACAAAAGAAAAGGTGACTGTGTTGTAATAGAAGCACAAGTGAAAGGTTATGCCCAACCAACACTGCACCATCTCACATTATTTAAACAAACCATGTGATTTTAATCTTTCCTACCTTTGAACACACTTCTACCTGCTATTCCCAGCTCCCTTATCTTTTTATGATAATCTCTTGCATCCTTCTAAACTCTGGGGGTATAATCACCTTTGTGAAATCTTTCCTGAATCCCATTTTATCTCTTCCCATTTGTTTTGCCAGGAACTCTTCCAGCTATGTAAATTCAACAGTGAATAAAACAAAGTTCTTTCTTTTGTGGAACTTTGATTCTAATAAGAGAGTCAGATAATAAACATATGAATGTATGATATTTCATGATGATAAGAATTATGAAAAGAGTAAGCAATATAAAATGAAGGGATGGGGTGCAATTTTGTATGGAGTGGTCAGGGAAAGCTACTCTGATGAAGTGATATAAGAGACTTGAATGGAGACAGGAGGTAAGCCCCGTGGATTTCGGGCTGGCAGGCTATCAGACGGAGGAATAAGAAGTGCAAAGGCCCTGAGGCAGAAGCATACTTGGCATGTTCAAGAAACTCAAAATGTAGCTCAAGTATAGTGAGTGAGAGAGAATGCAGATGAGTTCAGAGGTATTAGGGGCGTGAGTGGGACAGAGAAACTCATTCCTTCTAGACACCATGCCGCTTCTATGCCATGTGCCTATCACACTGTGTAGTAATTATTTGACTACATTTCTGTTTGCCTCAGGCTCTTCACTAGACCAAGTCCACCTCCAAACAGGGCATCCCATAGCCATCACTTCCATTCCTAGTACAGTGCTTAACGCTGGGTAAATCTTTTTGGTCACTGTTGAAAGTAATAGAATGAAGTTTTACAGACTGTTTGTGAGTATTGTAAGGCAATCACTCACAGTCCTGTGTATTTATCTTTCTGTTTATTTAATTGGTTTCATGAGAAAACCAGTTGCCTTTTGTTAAGGGATCTTTTTCTCTTTTCAGCTGTCTTTCAAGGCATTGCTTAAATATAACTGAAGAAATGATGAATACTTGATGAATATCTTTTGTGGTAGAGGTAGCATTTGAGCTAAGCTTTGAAAATGAAGATTTCCATGAGAAGAGAAGCATATAAATCACTAATAACTACTCTGAAAGCACCTCTTCCTCCTTACTTCTAAGCTGAGTTTCTTGCCTGAATATGCTTTCTTAGTTAAAGGTGTCTTTCTCTCCCTACTTACCAAGGGAGACATCAAAGGTAGGTAGTTTGAAGATATTATATATTCCTCCTTCTATTTCTTATATTATGACCTTATCAATCTACAATGCTCCATATATTCTGTTTGTTTTCCATTTTATTGTTGTTTTGTGGTCTGTTGGTTTCTGGCAAGAAAAATTAAAAGATAAGTTTTAATGTACTTATCTCTGAGAAGTACGAGAGTGTTTAGTAGATGATGATGAATTAAATGATGACAAGAATTGGAGGTCAAATAAAAATGTCTTGCTCACTATCCAGTATATATTGCGAGTACACATAACTGTGTTTGGCATTCATATGACGTTTATGCCCAACTGTGCTCTTTGCTGTCATGTACATTTCAATGTTCCTAAATTCTCAGTGTTCTTAAGTTTCCTCAGTAGTAAATTGATACATTAAAATAACATTTGTACCCATTTTGGGGAAGAATAACAAAGCTAAATTGAGGCTTCAAATGCCGAAGCATCTGGCCAGGCACGGTGGCTCACGCCTGTAATCCCAGCACTTTGGAAGGCTGAGGCAGGTGGATCACCTGAGGTCAGGAGTTTAAGACCAACCTGATCAACATAGTGAAACACTGTTTCTACTAAAAACACAAAAATTAGCTGGGCATGGTGGCATGCACCTGTGATTCTAACTACTCAGGAGGCTGAGGCAGAAGAATCACTTGAACCCAGGAGGAGGAGGTTGCAGCGAACCAAGATCACGCAATTGCATTCCAGCCTGGGTGACACAGCAAGACTCGGTCTCAAAAAAAAAAAAAAAAAAAAAAAAAAGAAAAGTCAAAGCATTTGACAAGTTATTGACAAGCAGGTAATGTGTTGTTTAGGCCTTCTCTTCTTTGAACAAGCAAAGTAATTGTACATGTGTAGAGCTTTCCTTCCTCTTTATGTACTTCCATGATAAATTGTAATCCCAGTGCTTTGGGAAGCCAAGGTCAGAATATGGTTTCAGTCCAGGAGTTCAAGCCAGCTTGGGCAACACAGCAAGACCCTGTCTCTATATAAAAAAAAAAAAAAAAAAAAAAAAAAAAGAAAGAAAAAAATTCGCCATGTGTACTTGTGTGCACCTGTAGTCCTAGCTACTCAAGAAGCTGAGGCAGGAGGATTGCTTGAAGTCAGGAGTTTGAGCCTGCAGTGAGCTATGATTGTGCCACTGCACTCCAGCCTGTGAGACACAGTGAGATTCTGTCTCTGAAAAAAAAAAGTGTTCCCTCCCTGAATTGTAGAGGCCAAGTTACTTTCTTTAATCCTAACTTCATATTCTTCCAACTTTTTAAACTTCTCATTCCCCTATCACCTTGTTTTCTAGAAAATGTGTAGATAATTTCTAGAAGCTGCATTTTCCCCAATCCATTGACTCATTCTGCACTGCACCCCCAGCACTCCCTTGTCATGACTGCACTTTCTTTCTGCATAGGTCAAATCCTGTAGAGTCTTCTCATATTCCATCTCTTTTCCCTTTTCTGACACTTGCCACTGTTGGCCAGTCTATTCTTAAAACTTGTACCTCTCATTACTTCATTCACTGGCTTGACTTCTTCTGCCCATCAAGAAAAGTTGCTCAGAGTTCTCTCCATCACCAACATTGTCTTCTTTCTTTTTTGTGCTCTTAAGGCACTCTGAAGCACATCCATTTACTAATGATCCCAATTGCCTTATTTCTCTTCTGTATTCCGGAATCATACATCCAACAGCATGCTAGACATTTCTGCCTGGATGTCCCATAAGTATATCGAAAACAACATGTCCCCACGCCCACTAGGATGGCCATTATCAAAAAACCCAGGAAATATCAAGTGTTGGCAAGGATGTGTAGAAATCCGAACCCTTGTGCAGTATTAGTAGGAATATAAAAGGTTGCAGCCTCTGTAAAAAAAGAAAAAGACAAAACAAAACAAAAACAGAGGTCCGTCTAGAAGTTAAAAATAGAATTACCATATGATCCAGCAGTTCCACTCTGGGTGCCAGTACAAAAGAACTGAAAGCAGGATTTGTAAGGAAAGAAAACCATACACCTTTAGGGAGTGATTTGAAATGTGTATGTGTCACTTCCAACTATCTTATTCACCCGTGCTTCATCATTTGTCCATAGCTAGCTGCAAGAGGCTTGGAAAAGTAGTCTTTAGCTGTGTGTTTATGTGTTCAGAATAAACCTATTACTACAGAAGAAGAGACAAATACATATTGAGGCAACCACTAGCAGTTGCTGGCACAATATTCAACCCTGACTTTATGAGTGCCTTGAAGTATTTCAGAGAAGATGAAGTATTAATTCACTCAAACTTATCTAATGAATGTATGATTCAGCATGAGATACAAGGAATAGAAACAAAAAGTGAGCTTGAGATCAGGATTAATGCAGGTGCTAGTAACTAGGCACTGACTTGGGTTTAAATTGAAGAGCAAGGGCTGTCATCTAACAACTTACTCAACTTAACCTTCTTAAAATAATTTTCATGCTGACAAGGATACAAACATGGAGGAATATCTTCTTGTTTGCTGGTTCAACACATGGACTTTGGTCTATCATTGGCCCTTTTACCTACTGGGTTCTACCAGGTATATGACTCTTCTGCTGCATATTCAAGGTGGCATTATTCACAGTAGCTAAAGGTGGAAGCAGACCAAATGTCCAGAGGCAGATGAATGGATAAACAAAATGGTGTAACATCCAATGGAATGTTATTCAGCCTCAAAAAGAAAGAAAAATCTGATGCATGTTACAATATAGATTAACTTGGAGGACTTAGCATAAAGTGAAACAAGTCAATCACAACAAAATAAATACTGTATTGTTCCACTTACGTGAGGTAGCCAGAGTAGTCAACTACTACCTTGCCAACAACTAGAGTAGTCAACTCATAGAAACAGAAAGTAGAGTGGAAGTCGCCAAGGGCTGTGGAGAGGGGAAATGGGGAATTGTTGTTTAATGGGTACAGGATTTCAGTTTTGTGAGACAGAAAGTTCAGAGATTGGTTATACAACAATGTGAATGTACTTAATGCCATCAAAATGTACATTTTACAATGGTTAAGATGGTAACTTTTCTGTTACACTTATCTTGCCATAAGGAAACAAATAAACAAAAATATGTCCCCACTAAACTCTGTGTTTATTCCACAATCTGCTTCTCTTAATGGTTTTTCAAATCTCAGTGACCGGCATTTACCAGTCATCCAGACAGAAAGCTGGGTGCTAACCTGAAATTCTCCTTCCATGTCACCCTCTCAGCCAAATTAATAAGCAAACTCTTTGACACTATATTCTTAATGTCTCTTCACACTCCCCACTCTGTCCATCTGCTTGTTATGCTTTTCAACTCTCTCACCCAGAGTTGCTGCTGTTACTATCATTTTCTTAACTGCTCCCTCTGCCCTAAATTGCTCCATTTCAAGTTATTTTCCATGTTTTGACTAGAATCATTTTTTTTTCTAAAATCCAGATGTGAACAAGTTATTTCCATACCGCAAAATACATTAATAGTTCCCCACTGGCTGCTACTCTTTAGAATGGAAAATAAGGGTCTTGCTGATCTAGTCCATTTCTTTCTTTTCTAATTCCTTGCTCTTATTACTTCTTGCGCCTTGTTTTCATACAATGCACTCCAGCTATAGGAAACCGTTTGTAGTTCCAGAGAACATGTTGTACTGTCTTATGCCTCTACAACTTTGTTTATGCTGCACTCTGTGCCTGGACTGCTAAGAATCCTCCTCCCCATCCTGTCCACCTGGTGAACACCTGGGTTTCTCTGAAGGCAAGTCAAAACTCATGCCCTATATGAAGCTTTTTCTGACTACTTCCCTTTTTTCTTAGTCAGAATTTATTTTTCCTCCTTCGTAATTCCTGTGCAAACATTTTAAAAAAATATTTGCTTCTGTAACATTTTATTGCACTTGTTTTCCATGTGTGGGTCCCTTTATTTCATTATAATTATTTTGAAATATGGGCTGTGGCTTAGTTTTCTTTATGTCCTTAATACCCAGACAGTGTTTGGAATATTGTACATATTTATTAAAAATTGACTGGATATATTATTATGTGGATATTAATTATTTATTTTTATTTATTTATTTTTTATGGTGTCTTGCTGTGTCACCCAGGCTGGAGGGCAGTGGTGCGATCTTGGCTCACTGCAACCTCTGCCTCCCGGGTTCAAGTGATTCTCCTGCCTCAGCCTCCCGAGTAGCTGGGATTACAAGTACCTGCCACCATGCCCATATTTTTAGTAGAGACAGAGCTTCATCAGTTTGGCCAAGCTAGGTGATCTGCCCACCTCGGCCTCCCAAAGTGTTGGGATTACAGGCATGAGCCACCGCGCCTGGCCATGGATATTAATTGAACATTCATTCAACAAACATTTATTGAACACCTGTTATAAGTGTTGGGGATAACAAGCATCTAGTGCATAATTTAGTAAAACAGATAGTTTAAAGAAACTAGGTGTTAATACTTACCCCATGATATGGCATGTACTTAGCAAATGTATCAGTTGAGAGGTTTGGTAGGTAGGGGAAGAGAGAGGCAATAGGGTGATAGTGGTGGTGAGTTAGAAAAAGTCTATTATAGGCAGTACTGTTGGAATGATTATTTTTGGTAAGTTTACCAGGTAAATTCTTTGTGGATTAGGTGATTAATTTTATTAACCATTCATCTTTGAAGCTTAGCACAGAGATTATACTTAGTAATATAAGTATATTGGTGGAACAAACAATCCATAAAACATTTGGGGTTCAGCCTGTTGACTTCATTGTATTGGTACTATTTTTCTCCAGGTTGGGAATAGCTGGAGAGAAATTGAGAAATCATGAAGGATGTTGATGCTTTTTAAAGAGTATACCTGACTGTAGGCAACTGGGCTAGGAGAGGTTTTTAAGCAGGAAAGTTGTAGGACCAACTTTGTTTATTAGGAAGAAAATAGAATCGGAGGGGGAAGAGATCGAAAGCCAGAAAATGTTGGGAGATCATTGTCCGGGTGAGCGATGCTGTTGGGTTTTTGTGACAGCAAGAATGCAGAGGAAGGCTGAATTCTAAGAGTTTTGAAGCCTATCAAGATGTAGTGACGATGAGATGAGGGAGGAAAGATGGGGAAAGTGAAAATGAGAACAACAGGGTTTGTTATGAGGTTTGTGGGCAATAACGTATGTGGCAGCAATCTATAAACCCAAAATACTGCACACGGTTGTTTTTATTATCTTTTTCTAGTTGCTCTGAGTTTAGATTGAGAATGTGGCTGTGCTTTTAGAGACGTGTTCATATCTAAGGAAGATATCAAATTTCGGATTAGGCTTTTATTTCGGAGACTTTTCAAGGAACATGAAAAGATTATCCGCGCAGACAGGCCGAGCGACGGAAAGAACTCAGTTCAGCTCCACCCCGGGGAACACCTCACCTCCGCGAAGTTTTTGAGGAAGCCCAGAGCCACAGAGCCCCACCCACTTCTTTCCAGACCACACCATCCTTCCTCAATTCCGGCCTCCTCCCTAACCAATCACCGCTCAGTTCAACGTCATCACCGAGCGCCATCAGGTAGCGTGTCGGAGGCCGGACCACGTGTACTGTGTTGACTGTCAAAGTCTCTGGGAGCCCAATTTCCGGAAGCGGTGAGTTCAGAAAGAAGTTCCTGCACCGTAGTTCCCCAAGCCTGCGAATCCCCAACCATGAGCGCCTCAGGCGTACTGTCCTTTACCCAGCAAGGATGGGAGCAGGTGCTGGCCAAAGTGAAACGGGCTGTGGTTTACCTGGACTCCGCCTGCGCCGAGAGCCTGCACTGGGGCTGCGGATCCACCCGTCTCCTGGAGGCGGTAGGGGGTCCTGACTGTCACCTGCGAGAGTTCGAACCCGACGCAGTTGGTGGTGGAGCCAAGCAGCCCAAGGTGGTGTTTGTGCTGAGCTGCCTGCTGAAAGGCCGGACTGTGGAGATCCTACGGGACATCATCTGCCGCAGTCACTTCCAGTATTGTGTGGTGGTCACAGCCGTGAGCCACGCTGTCCACCTCACAGCTAATCATGTCCCAGCGGCGGCAGCGGCCGAGATGGAGGGGCAGCAGCCAGTGTTTGAGCAGCTGGAGGAGAAGCTGTGTGAATGGATGGGCAACATGAACTACACGGCCGAGGTGTTCCATGTCCCGTTGTTGCTTGCCCCTGTTGCTCCCCACTTTGCCTTGACTCCAGCCTTTGCATCCCTTTTCCCACTGCTACCCCAGGATGTGCATCTCCTTAATAGCACCCGACCGGACAAGAGGAAGCTGGGAAGCCTGGGTGATGTGGACGCCACTGCCCTAACCCCAGAGCTGCTGCTGCAGATCAGGTGCCTAGTGTCAGGCCTCAGTTCTCTGTGTGAACATTTAGGAGTACGGGAGGAGTGTTTTGCTGTAGGTTCCTTAAGTCGGGTCATCGCTGCGGATCTGGCCAATTATGCCCCTGCAAAGAACAGGAAGAAGACTGCTGCAGGCAGGGCATCAGTGGTTTTTATGGACAGAACCTTGGATCTCACAGGTAAGTGCATTGCTTCGGAGTTCTTCATTACCATTCCCCACATTTCTGGGACTTTCATTGATTCAGCATATCTTTTATTGACCTTTTATTATATATCAGATTGAGGATATAAAGATGAACTAGAGGGACACAGTCTCTAATCTCACAGGGTTTATTGTCTAAAGTGGAATATAGACAAGTGAATTAGCAATTACAATAACATTTGTTAAATGCTGTAATGGGTAGAAATATCATAAATGAGCATTGCCTTGTTAAACAACAACTTTAGCCCAAGATTATGCTGACATGGAGGAAAACTGTGCACCAGGGAAATTTTATTTTTAGAAATTTACGAATGCCAGTACTCACAACAGTCCTTCATAAGACCACTCTGGTTTGTTGGAGAAGTGTTAACAGATGACCCATCGGAAGGAAAACTACTGTATAATAAAACATAAAATTATCACAGACAATTGAGGTTTAGGAAATGAGTGTTAAAAAGTGAGGCTGAACTTAAATGTCACTAGTAAATGAGATTAAATAGAATTGTAGAAAATATTTTCAAATGTTTATTGATTTTTAGCTCTCATATTAACGATTAAATAATCTCAAATTGTAATAATGTATTATTTACACAAAAGAAACAAATGTAATCCTTAAAGCAGATGAAGAAAAGACACTTTCTGATGTTTGATATGTTATTTTCAAAGGTCAACTTTATTGTTCTCTAATTAGGTTGTATAAAAACTGTTAGTAATGTAGCCTAGCCCCTTCTGCATCCAGGGAGAATAATCAGAAAACTGACATTGGTAGGCATTTCCTTTAATCGGTAAGAAAAAAGTTGAATAAAGTTATAAAAAACAAAATATGTATATTTGAGTTTTTGATCTTAAGATTAATTTTCAGATAAAAAATAGAAAGTAGGCTAAATGGTAATACTGAGATGTAAACTTAATTATGTGACTGGAAAAACCAGATGTCCAGTCTGTGATTTAAATATATAAGTAATAACTGTAGCATCACAGAGTCCATAGGGGATTAAAAGGTAAAACTCAGTAAGCAGATGCTTGTTGAGTTTTTTAGTGGATGCTATATATTACTTTTACTTCTCTTTATGCCAAAAATGTAACAAAGTTGTTTCATAATCAACTGGGAAATTCACATAATTTTGTACCCTCCCCTAAGACTTCAGTTAGGCAAAACTTAATGTCCCACTGTCCAGCATCATAGTAACAGCTCTTTACATCTTCGGTAGCTAATACTTTGTTTTTAAACATACAGAATAAATAAGGCGAGCATAACTTCTGCCTTCTAAAAGTTTGCAATATAATGTAGTCAAGTATGATTTAGAGCCCGGCATGGAGGCTCATACCTGTAATCCCAGCACTTTGGGAGGCTGAGGCAGGCAGACTGCTTGAGCTCAGGAGTTTGAGATCAACCTGGGCAACACAGCAAAACTCAATCTCTACAAAAAATTTAAAAATTAAATAAAAAAATGAAAAAATTAGCCAGGTGTGGTGATCTGTAGTCCCAGCCACTCAGAAGGCTGAGGTGGAGGATAACTTAAGCCCAGAAGGCAGAGGTTGCAGTGAACCGCCATCACATCACTGCACTCCAGCTTGGGTGAGAGTCAGATTCTGTCTCAAAAAAAAAAAAAAAAAAAGATTTACAAAATAAAGACACATAGAAAGACAAAGTTGCCATTTGGCAGCAATCATTTTATAGATTCTCTCTCATCAAGCGTCCAGATCTCCTTCCCCATACTCACCTTTCTCACTTCTAATATCACTGAGAAAACATAAGCCACTAGAAAAATCCATATTTTCCCATCACCAAATCTACCACCCTTTCTACATCTGTACCCATGTCTTTTTCCTTCCTTCATATTGAAGAGAGCGCTACTGTCCCTGCCACTATCTAATGCCACCTTTTTCACCTATGTAGACTAAATCCTGTCTTTTCACTTCTCTCATAGATTTACTGTTTTTCAAATACCCTCTCCCTTTCTTAGATCATCATTTTTTCCTTTTCCCTGTATTTTCCCCCAGGGAACATCTTCTTTCTTGATCTCCCATGCTCTCCCAACTTCAATTCCTTTTTTTTTTTTTTTTTGCTTTATTTTATAGCAAACTTGAAAGAGTTGTCTATACTTGTCTCCACAAACATCTACTCCAATTTTCTCTTGACTCCACTTCAATCAGACTTTTATTTTCCAATACTTCCCAGAAACTTCCTTTGTTTTATTACCACATTCATTCTACTGAACTTCAAAGCAGCATTTGACACAGTAAAGTGTGCAAATAGTTAAAAAACAATTAAAGAAGTGTGAAACATATACAGGCAAGCAACCACTTAGCCCAGCTTCTTATATAATCCCTCAAAGCATAACTATGACATATCATTTACTTGCTCAGTATTCCAGTGGCCTCTTATCATACCTCCTGTCAAGTTCCTTACTGTTGTTTTCAAGGCCATACATGATCTCCCCTCTTACAACATTGGCTACCTTGCCATAGCCAGACATGCTAACCGTGTTCCAGCCCCAGCGCCTTTGCAATTCCTCTGCAGCTCTGCTTGGGATGTTCTTACTTGAGGTATCCACGTGGCTTTCTCCCTCACATCATTCCTGCTCCTCAGAGAGTCCTTCCTCAGTGACCTTCTTTGACACTCTCTTACCCCTTACCTGGCTTTATTTGTCATAGCCTTTACTATTCCCTGACACTACTAATTGATTATTTATTACCTGTCTCCTCCCACTTGAATGGAAGTTCTTGAAGGGACTCTGTTTTGTTTACTGTTTATTAACCAGCAAGAGTACCTTGAAAACAGTAGGTATTCAATATATATTTATTGAATGAATAGATAAATGAGTGGATTATAGGTTGTAGATACCAGACATTAATTGAGGTTAACACACTTATTTTTTCTAATTGAAAATGTTTCTGAGATTCTTGAATCATATCGTTAGTAATACACAAATGCAGAAAAAATGATGCATACTTTTCTGGATGATGTAAGATTTGGCAGCTTGGGCTCACCGCAAAACTTAAGAAAGAAAATAATGATATTAGCTAGTAATATTTATATGAATATTTTATAGATAAAAACCACTTCTTTGTGATGGCTCATACCTGTAATCCCAACACTGGGTGTGGTGGCTCATGCCTGTCATTCCAGGCTGAGGCTGGTGAATCATGGGAGCCTAGGAGTTCAAAAACAGCCTGGGCAACAGAGCAAGACCCTGTCTCTACAAAAAATACAAAAATTAGCCAGGTATAGTGACTTATGCCTGTGGTCTCAGTTACTCGTGAGGCTGAGGTGTGCGGATTGCTTGAACCTGGGAGTTTGAAGCTGCAGTAAGCTGTGATCGCGCCATTGCACTCCAGTCTGGGTGACAGAGCGAGACCTTGTCTCAAATAAATAAATAAAAATAAAAATCCCACTCTTACATTACCTTATTTGATCTCAACAAATTGAGTGTTCTTTATCATTTTAAGAATTAAGATATTGAGGCTCAAAAGTTGTTCCTTACTGAAAAAAGCATAAGAGTTAGGTAGCCAGGTGTGATAGTATTGTGTCACATTTGACATTTATTTCTATAAATGTCAAAGTTCAGCATCTTTTGTTTTTTGAATTGTCAAAGAGAGAGTTAGTGTTGTATTGTTAGTGTAAAGTCCTTACTTTCTTTACATTTGTTAAGAATCCCTCTGCCAGTAGGTGGTCTTCCAAGGTGAATGGTTAAGTTAGCAAAGGTACTCAGTAGCAGGTTTGTGTGGGAGGGGGCATTTTAGGTACATGAGGTCAGTGAAACAATGTTTAATGTTGAAAGGGGCATTGCTTAAAGGGAACAAATAGAAGATTTCTGTGGGTAGATTCAAGGCAACATATAAAAAGAGTAAGAAAAATTCAGCCACTCTGTCAAGAGCCTGAGAGGAACCATGAAAATATTAGTTTCAATGGGATGCTATGGGCATTCTAACACAAGATATGATGATAAAGCAATGACATTGAACCCCCAAAAGTTCCTTGAGGTATTTCCCAAATACATTAAAAATTATAAAGACTCTGCTTCCTTCTTATCTTCTTGAATAATTCAGTTCAAAAACATTTAGGTAGGACTCAGTGAGGTAGGTGTCTGGCAGGGAGGAAGACCTTGGCTGGGCCTGGGTGTTGGATCCCAAATGGGGTGAGATCTCCTGAGTAGAGTGAGGTCACCTGCTTAGTGGTGGTAGGTGACAGCAGCAATGGCCTGGTAGGGTGATAAAGCCAGAATGGCCAGGGCCCAGTGTATTTGCCTATCTACTGGTTTATGGAACCAAGTTTTGATTTGTGGTCCTCTCTGAAACCAATCAGCTTTGAGCATAGGATACTCAAGAAGTGTCCATGATCTACATCCCATTTAAAAATTATCACCTCCTCACTTTTAGAAGGATTAAAATTACTGCTGGCTGGTGGAGGGTAGACTTTAGAAGATAGATTTTAATCAGGACTAGTTTGTTACTGTGATCCTAATAACTGATAAATTGATGTCTTTTTAATAGATAACTTTTGGATAATTATCCAGATTATCTTCCAGATGATCAGCTTAAAGTCTCATTTGATTCAAAGATGTTTCCACATAGTGTTACATCCCATATTAGTAATATACAGGGTTCATTTTCAGTGGGTACATAGCTGTATTGTCAAACCTTTTGTTTAAATGTTGAAGTAGTTCTGTATTAGTGAGTAAAAATAAGCCCTCTACCTATTAAGACCACAAGTCACCAAATCCTGTTGTCCAGTGGAGGCAATAGATAGGGCCTAGGAGCATGCTAGTGCGGATGCAGCTGGCCCCCTAGGGGCACTGAGAGAACTGAGGCAGTGGAGGTCATGGTGGCTCCATGGTAGTAGTGAATGAGAAAATGCAGCACCTACCTACTGCTTCAGAGTGGCCCCACGTTGAATGAGGTAGTAGGGTAGATGATGTTAGTGGCATTATTGTGGTAAGGGTGCTCCTGGCCCTGGCATTCTGGAGAATACAT